ATCAAAATCGGTCCATAACTTTTTGAGTTATGTTGTTAACAGATAAAAGACAACAAACAAACAGACAAACAAACAAACAAACAAACAAACGCCGGCAAAAACATAACCTCCTTGGCGGAGGTAATAAATAAGAAATTGCCTCACAGGTCCAGTTCGAGAGGCTCGGGGACCGGCCAGGGGGGCGTGACGGGCTGGAGTCGGCTCGCGGGCCTTAGTTTGACGACCCCTGTTCTTAATAAAGAGAGGGGGAAAAAAACAAAAAAAAAAAAAAAAAAAAAAAAAAAAACACGCGGGGTACAGAGGCCCGGGGTTCCGCGTGTGGCGTGGTCGTGTGCCGGTGCTTGTAGGCGGAGCTCGGGGCGGGCACAGGTGGCGCAGTCAGCGGCGTGCCTCCGTGCAGCGGTGCTCCCGTCAGTGCCTCGCTCAGAGCCGCACGGAGCCGCACGGAGCCGCACGCCGCCCGTCCGCGCACTCGGGCCGTGGACTATGAGAGCGAAGCCGTCCTCCGTGACGTTTGGCTGCTGCTTGGCGTGCGTTTGTTTTCTGTCAGTGGCGTGGATCCAGTCCGCGCCAGAGCTCAGGGGTAAGTGTCGTTTTTCTGTCTAAAAAAATATAAAAAGGCCAGTAGGCTTTTGGGGAATGGGTTTAATGAAAAGGCCCAGGCTAAACTTTGAACATTTACGCAAAACAAACACTGAAAACATTCTTACAATTAGAAAATATACTCCGATAATCACGGTAAAATAAATAAATTCAAACTTTTAGGCTCCTTTTTTTTTTTTTTTTTTTTTTTCCAAACAGCCTAAATGAATGTACTTGGTCCTGGTTTAGACCCATTTTAGTCCTGGTCTACTTCTGGTTTAGGCCTGGTTTAGTCCTGGTCTAGTCCTGGTTTAGTTCTGGTTTAGTCCTGGTCTAGTCCTGGTGTAGTTCTAGTTTAGTCCTGGTCTAGTTCTAGTTTAGTCCTGGTCTAGTCCTGGTCTAGTTCTAGTTTAGTCCTGGTCTAGTCCTAGTCTAGTTCTAGTTTAGTCCTGGTCTAGTCCTAGTTTAGTCCTGGTCTAGTCTGGCCTAGTTCTGGCCTAGTCCTGGCCTAGTCCTGGCCTAGTCCTGGTCTAGTCCTGGTCTAGTCCTGGTCTAGTTCTAGTTTAGTCCTGGTCTAGTCCTGGTCTAGTTCTAGTTTAGTCCTGGTCTGGTCTAGTCTTGGTCTAGTTCTAGTTTAGTCCTGGTCTAGTCCTGGTCTAGTCTTGGTCTAGTTCTAGTTTAGTCCTGGTCTAGTCCTGGTCTAGTCTTGGTCTAGTGCTAGTCTAGTCCTGGTCTAGTCCTGGTCTCCTGGTCTAGCCCTGGTCTACTAGCCCTGGTCTAGCCCTGGTCTAGCCCTGGTTTAGTTAGTCCTGGTCTAGTCCTGGTCTAGTCCTGGTCTAGTCCTGCTTGGCGTGCGTTTGTTTTCTGACAGTGGCGTGGATCCAGTCCGTGCAAGAGCTCAGGACTAGACCAGGACTAGACCAGGACTAGACCAGGACTAGACCAGGACTAGACCAGGACTAGAATAGAAATTCTAAAAGTTCCGCATCCAAAAGTTGCAGTTTTTACGCTCGTTTTGGGTGAAATATGCACATGCAGTGGAGCCAGGCCCTAAAAACTGCAACTTTTGGATGCGTAACTTTTAGAATGTGTTGAAAGTAATGAGGGTGGCTCTACTGAAAGTGCAGGACGCGTGTTAGCAGCAGCACGTCCTGCATGCGTAGATTTCAGAAAATAGGATCCATCCTATTTTTTGACTGTCTATGCGAGTGTCCATCCATCCATTTTCTTCCGCTTATCCGGGGCCGGGTCGTGGGGGCAGCAGTCTAAGCAGGGACTCCCAGACTTCCTTCACCCCAGACACGTCCTCCAGTTCCTCCGGAACCCCAGTCGAGGTCAACAGCTCTCCCCCCGCACTGTAAACAGTGTTGGTGAAGAACTGCTTCCCTCTCCTGAGGCGCCGGACGGTTTGCCAGAATTTCCTTGAGGCCGTCCGATAGTCCTTCTCCATGGCCTCCCCGAACTCCTCCCAGCTCCGAGTTTTTGCCTCTGCGACCACACGGGCTGCAGCACGCTTGACCCGCCGGTACCCATCAGTTGCCTCAGGAGTCCCCCGAGCCAGCAAGGCCCGATAGGACTCCTTCTTCAGCTTGACGGCATCTCTTACTTCCGGTGTCCATCACCGGATTCGGGGATTGCCGCCGCGACAGGCATCACAGACCTTATGCCCACAGCTTCGAGCAGCTGCATTGACAATAGAGGCCGAGAATGAAGCCCACTCAGACTCCATGTCTCCAGGCTCCCCCGGAATCCAGGAGAAGTCCTCCCGGAGGTGCGAGTTGAAAGTCCCTCTGACAGAGGGCTCCGCCAGACGTTCCCAACAGACCCTCACTACACGCTTGGGTCTGCCAGGTCTTTCCGGCTTCCTCCTCCGCCAGCGAACCCAACTCACAACCAGGTGGTGATCAGTTGACAGCTCAGCCCCTCTCTTCACCCGAGTGTCCAAGACACGCGGCCGGAGATCAGATGACACGACGACAAAGTCGATCATCGACCTCCGGCCTAGGGTGTCCTGGTGCCACGTGCACTGATGGACACCCTTGTGCTCGAACGTGGTGTTCGTTATGGACAAACCGTGACTAGCACAGAAGTCCAATAACAAAACACCGCTCGGGTTCAGATCAGGGAGGCCGTTCCTCCCAATCACCCCTCTCCAAGTGTCACTGTCGTTGCCCACGTGGGCGTTGAAGTCGCCCAGGAGAACAATGGAGAAGGCTGGGTACTCTACACTACTGTTCGGCCTGTAGGCCGACACCACAGTGAGAGATCTGTCCCCAACCCAAAGGGACGCGACCCTCTCGTTCACCGGGGTGAACTCCAACACACGGCGGCTGAGCTGTGGGGCAATGAGCCCACACCAGTCCGCCGCCACTCCCTGTGGCCAATGTCAGAGAAATGGAGAGTCCAGCCCCTCTCAAGGAGTTGGGTTCCAGAGCCCAAACTCTGCGTGGAGGTGAGGCCGACTGTATCTAGTCGATAACGCTCAACATCCCGCACAAGCTCAGGCTCCTTCCCCCCCAGCGAGGTGACATTCCATGTCCCCAGAGTCAGTCTCCATGTCCGGAGATCCGGTCGTCGAGGCCCCCGCCGTCGACCGCTGCCCAAATCTCTCTGCACCGGCCCCATATGGATCCTCCCGCGGGTGGTGGGCCCACGTGAGGACAGCCCCGCCCCCAGGCGCTCACTGTCGAGCACCCACCCCAGGCCTGACTCCAGGGTGGGGCCCGAGTAATGCCAATCCGGGCGACGTCACTGGCCTCTGAGTGGACATCATCATCGGGAAAGCCCGAATGATCCCGGGAGCTATGTTGTCAGGGGCTTCATGCCCCTGGTAGGGTCACCCAAGGCAAACAGGTCCTGGGGGACGCGTCAGAGGAAGAGCGGTTCAGAAGCCGTATATGATTATTATGTTTATTTATTATGTTTATTTATTTTGGACAGTAATACATAGAACATAATTAAAAAAAACAAAAAAAAAACTAAATAATTTAAAAAAACAAAAACGTAAATACATAGATATAACACAAAAAGTAACTATTTCTACTCTATAATAACAGGCAAAATAAATGTTACGCAGAATTTTCCTTGTGTCCGAAAAAGGAGTGGGAGGAAGTAAATACTTATTTAACCCCACCCCTTTTTTCTACAGTCCCAAATTAACGAAGAACAAATACAGACTTCTCATTTCCTGTACATTATAAGCAATAATTGCACAGTACCTCCATTGCATTACAATCTAACAGACAACAACGAATATATGTATATTATGTACACAGATATAGTACACATCATATACACAGATATAATATATACATACCTACATACACATCACATACCCATGCATACCTATATATATATATACATATATACACCCATATACATACACATACATATACATGCACACATATACCCTAAGCACTCATTTCTTCCACACAGTATTTTGAAATAATACATTTTTTAATTGCCCTTTTGAATACATGTATATTCGAACAAAGTTTTAATTCTATTTTCAAGTTGTTCCATAATTTCACACCACAAACAGAGACACAAAAAACTTTTTCTTGTCGTTCGAGCACGAGGCAATTTAAAATTCAAAACGCCTCTTAAGTTATAGTTTGTTTCCCTTTCACAAAAAAGTAGTCGAAGATTTTTTGGTAAGTGCTTATTTTTAGCTTTATATACATGACTTGTGCAGTTTGGTACAGAATCAAATCATTCAGTTTGAGTAATTTGGCATGAATAAACAGTGGATTAGTGTGGTCATGAAATTTGACATTATAAATAATTCTTATTGCTTTTTTTTGAAGTTTTATCAATGGTTCTATTGCAGTTTTATAGTTATTGCCCCAAATTTCTGCACAGTATGTTAAATATGGCAAAACCAGTGAACAATAAAGTGTGTGTAGTGCTCTGTGATCTAAGACATACTTTGCTTTGTTTAATACTGCAATACTTTTTGATATTTTATTATGTATATATTGGATGTGGGCTTTCCAGTTAATCTTCTCATCAATTATGACCCCTAAAAATTTATTCTCCTTGACCTGCTCTATTCTTACACCTTGTATCTGTAACTGTATTTTTTCTTCCTTATAATTCCCAAATAGCATTATTTTAGTTTTATTCAAATTTAGAGATAATTTATTTGTGTCAAACCATATTTTTAGCTGCATCATTTCAGATGTTATATCAGCTAATAACTGTTGTATGTTGTCTCCATAACAAAATAAATTTGTGTCATCTGCAAATAACACTGCTTTAAACAATGTAGACACTTTGCATAGATTGTTAATATATAAAATAAATAATTTAGGTCCTAACACGGACCCTTGTGGCAGGCCACAGACAATGTCCTCATGTGAAGAGCAGTGTTCACCCAGTTTGACAAATTGTTTTCGGTTTACTAAATAACTTTTTAGCCACTTTAAAGCTACCCCTCTTATTCCATACCTTTCCATTTTTTTAAATAGTAATTGATGATTTATTGTGTCAAAAGCCTTTTTTAAATCTATGAATATACCCACTATTATTCTCCTTTGATCAATGTGATTGGTTATTGCTTCAACTGAGTCCATCAGAGCGAGTGATGTTGATCTGCTTGTTCTGAAACCTGTACTGACTATCGCTGAGGAGGTTGTGTTGACCTATGAATTTTTCCAGTCTAGTGTTGTAGAGCTGTTCTAATATTTTTTGAGAATTGTGGTAGTAGAGAAACTGGTCTGTAGTTGGTAAATTCCTGCTTGTTTCCAGATTTAAATAAAGGTATGACTTTTGCTATCTTCATCTGTAGTGGAACTGTACAAGTTTGAAATGATAGATTGAAGATGTGTGCTAATGGTTTGGCAATTACTGTAATTATTTGTTTTATCAGGGCCATGTCCAAATCATTGTAATCAGTTGATTTCTTATTTTTACATTTCATGACTGTATTGACTATTTCCGTTTCACCCACAGGGGAAATAAACATGGAATGGGGATTTCTGTCAATTAGTTGTTGGCGTT